TATGAAGTTGTGAGGTTTTGTGGGAGAAAGAACAAAGGGGCCTGGGACAATATTTCAGCCAATGGCAGAGCAGCAGCTTGTGGAGTTGCCTGGAGGAGATGATATGCTGGATAGGATGATGGATCTGGGCCTACTGGAATCCACCCCACCACCTCCAGAGGCCATATGCATATGATTTGGGGGAGTCCTCCTCAGAAACTGTATACAGGATGGTCAGACCCAACTAGGCAGCGCTTAACAACAACAACAAGGGAGAAGAAAATACTGAACTTCTGTTGTTTAAATGTGTATGTGTTAACAACAACAGTGTTACGTGGCTGACGCTCCTGTAATCACAATGACGTGTTCTCACTGCCATCGAGTTGATTCTACTTCATGACGCCCTTGTAGCACAGAGCAGAACTGCCCCATAAAGTGTCCAAGGCTGTAAATCTTTACAGAAGCTGACAGTTACATCATTTTCCTGTGAAGTGGCTGGTAGCAGCCAAACACTTAACCACTATGACACCTGGGATTCTTCCGCATTGACCCACTAAAGGAAATTTCTACCTAGTCAAATGGCTTACTCATTGCAATATATAAAACTCCAAACTCAACAATCCACTGCCATCCAGCCAATTTCAATTCACAGGGTTCCCGAGACTGTAAATCTTGACTGGAGCAGAAAGCCTCTAATTTCTCCTGCAGATCCACTGCTGAGTTTGCTCTCAGCAGTGCGGTGCTTATCCTATATAGCACCAGGGTAAAAATTCATGATTTCAGTGAAGCATGTTGTAAACAGCACAAATTAAACTACTGAACTAGGTTAATGTCTCTTATTAAGATACTAAACAGCTAGTCAGCACACCACTGTTTATATGCAATTATGGCAGCTGTCAATATGAAACAGAAATAATACCGGAAATGGAATGCTCTGGTCTTGGCCTGTTTCTTTTTCGTCTTATTCATTTCACATGGTCATTTCATGTAATTTGTAGTCACCGTTATCACTTATACAAAAATGATTCATATTTCTGACCACGTTAGTCTACCAATAAGGGGAAGTGGGGGAAAAACAGCAATGAAGTTGTGAGCTAAGTCCGACAATGTTCAATAGATTCCTGTCAACCTGGATTGAGACCTGGTTGGCTAGCAGTATGGTAAGACCTGGGGACTCCTGGGCCCAGGGACAGGGACATGGCTACAGAAGACTAGAGTGGAAAGTAAAGCATCCAAGATACACAGGAACACCCACATTTGCAGATAGTAACCATTTGACCTGGCTTCAATGGCTAGAAGATCAGAATTTGACTAGAGGGAGAAAGAAGAAAAAAAGAGTAACCCGCTACAATTTGATGAACTTGACCTATACTTATGGATGTAGTAGCTCAAAAGAGGGAAACGAATCTTTACAGCAAGGATCAGTCCCATCCCCTCGGTGCACAGGGTTGACAGGGATGGGCAACTTAGACATTGGCTACTGAAAATGGGGGGTGGGGTGGAGGGTGGTGGTGTGTGGCCACAAATACATGAATGACTGGCTTACCAGCTTTCAAGAGGGAGCCTAGTTTCACAGGGAGCGGGGGAAAATAGAATCTCCACTGAGTGATTTCCAACCTGTCTGAATGGGGCTGGTAAAAGGAGATGGGGATAAGACTCTTGTGGTTCAATAGTGAATAATTACTATCAGGACTGATTGTGAGTGTTGTAAATGCAAAGGTAGATGTTTTGTAACAAACAGTGGGGAGTGGTTGGTTGATCTTGCAGTCTAGGAGCGGAGGTCCCTGGGACCATCAAGGGAGAAAAGCCGAGTACTTCCGGAACCCTATCCAGAGAAGCAGTGATGGCAGAGATGATGACATGGAAAGATGAAGTGGCTGGGGACTCGGGACTCAGGGAGGGAGAGGGGTTGTGTGCTGATGGCCAAGGGGGCAGGCTTGTAGGTTGTACCCTTTGGTTGTTTGAATGATTATACCTTCCTGATTGTTTTGGTGTACATCCAAAGCAACAAGAAAAACAGAGGGAATGGAAGCAAATGATGCATGAAGGGGATTGTAATCATTGCAATGAAACGAATATAATAGAATGAATGTAAAGCTGATGTTCCCCCATGTAAACTATCACGCAATTCACAATAAAAAATTTTCAAAAAAAATAATAGTAATTCATATTTCATCATTAATTATCTGTGCTTTATTGACTATGCAAAGGCCTTCAACATGTGGATCATGACAAGCTTTGCATAATATGGCAAAGAATGAATATTCCAAAACACTTAATCGTGCTCTGAAGAACTTATACAAAGACTAAGAGGCAGTCATTCAAACAGAACAAGGGGATATTGAATGGTTTAAAATCAGGAAAAATGTGCATCAGGTTGTATTCTTTCACCATATTTATTAAATCTATATACCATGCAAATAACCTCAGACGCTGGACTATATGAAGAACATGGCCTCAGGATTGGAGACTCATTGTTGTTGTTGTTAAGTGCCGTGGAGACAGTTCCGACCCATAGCAACCCTG